GGGGGGGGGGCAAGTGACTGGTTTTATTTTCTGTCGTGCTAATTCTCCTGAATGAGGAATGCTTTATCTGAAGGCCTGAAGCTTGTTTAAACGAGAAAATCCTCTTCCAAACCTGTGTTGATGGTGCTGTTTACTCAGTACTTTTTTTGCAACGAGAGTTGTGACTTTTTTTTTTTTCTTCTTTTCCCTTACTTAGCTAATTCCCACTGCTGTCTCTAGCTGATTTAAGTAATACATAGTGTGAACTCACTTTCAGATCTGGAGACCTTCCTTAGCATGGAAGTGGTAAAGGCTCTGCTCTAAATTGTTACTAGATACACATAATAGAAACCTCATACTGCAGTAGCAACCCTTTCTCTTTTTTTTGTTTGTTTGGTTGGGTTTTTGTGTGTCTTTTCATCTTTCCTGTGATGTCTATATTGAACTGTTGATATTTTTAAACTATAGGTGAAATATGTTCAAAAGATGTACCCTGAAAGCTTTACTTAACTTGATGTGGTGCTGTAAGTGAACAGGATGAAGGAATTGGGTTGCAACAAAAGAGTTACATTTTGTGGTTTTTTTTCCTTAGAAAAAAGCATTAGCTTTCATCTTCTTCCCTGCCCGTTCTCTGCAGCCACGCAAGCGCTTCTGCTGCCACGAGGGAAGGTGTGTGGGAGAGCAGCAGGAGGTCTCCTGGTAGTGGTGGTGTAGGAGAGACGGGCAGCAGGAGAGCCCCTTTGGTGACAGTGGTCACTGCAAAACACAGCGGCGCTGGCCACACAAAACTGCGGTGTCAGCTGGAGTTCAGAAGGTGACAGCTACATTTAAGCAAGACTGTGCAGCTTTAAAATGATGTTTCTGTCTTCTATTCTCACGAAGATCAAAGAACTAGCGGTCTTGATCATCTTCTGCTTTCAAGCTCCTCCAGAGCCACTTCCAGCAGAGGACAGCATGTTTCAGTTTGCTCTCCTGCTTTGGTTGTTAAATAGTTTTTTTTGTAGCTGAACTTCACTTGAGACAATTGATTATGTTTTGTGCTTTACTGGGTCCAGCTGCTGACACCTTATTCGGGCTTGATGTCCCTGTCTTGCTTTCCTTGTTTCTTCCCAGCTGCAAAAGGATTGCCGCTGCTTCCCCCAGCTCTTGTTGGTGCTTCTGCATTTAGACAAGTGCTTTATCAAGACCAGATCAGCAGTCTGAGTCCATGCGGCCCTCGGAGCCAGCCGGGTATCTCTGCAGGGTGCTTGCCAGGAGAGGGCTGTGCAGACCCACCCAGACTGACCTTACCTGGACCCGGCAAGGTCTGTTAGTCCCTCCTTTGCCTTCCCAGCAAGAGGTGTCTCTGCAGCTGGGCACTGCTGCTTTAAAGCATCTGAGTGTGAGGGTAAAGCTGCAGTCACTGTGCGAGTAGGATCTCAGGATTTCTTTGGTTTTGTTGTAATTAAGGACTCTCCATCTTGATATGTTTCAAGTGGGTCGCTTTTCCTCTGTAATATCCTTCAAATAACCCCTTTTAGATTGTGTTTTTATTATTATTTCCACATGATGTTACAAAGCCTTCATGCTGGAAGTCGTTTCTTAGTAATGGTTAATAAATTCTCATAATAACTGATCTAAAAGCTGCAGTGAAGTATGGGGGGAAAAGGGGAGGTAATTGACATTTGTTCTTTCATAAATTCACCGCGTTCCAGGCACAAGGAAGGAACGTTTAACTAGTGCTCAAAGTAAATGAGCTAACATAAGTTTCTGATAGAGATTTACTCTTCTTAGGCAATCTATTCCGACAGGTTGCTGTTCTTACAATAGGAAATACTTCTCCTAACTTCTAATCTAAATTTATATGCTACAATTTAAGCATTTAAGAATTTTAATGTGTGTTTTGTACAATTCGTGAACTCTTTATTACACCTCTTCTGCTGGAATGTGTCACACGTTTGGGGGGCTTGCTCTTTGGTGTTTTCCACACTGAAGAGATACAATTCCTTTAGTCTTCTCTCTTCGGTGTTTTTTTGAAATTTTTTTAAATACACCTGTGGGCTATCTCACGGCTTTTCTTGAGGCTTTTTCCACTTGGTTTGCAGTTTTCTGGAACACTGAAACTGGGCACAGTGCTCCGTCTGAGTCCTTAGTACAACAGGCAGAGTCAAAATTATTTCATGTGCTTTTCATATGATACCTGCATTTCATACTTCTTAGTAGGATGATGAGTCTTTACGTATTTTTTATTTTTTGCAATGACATGTGTGATTTATGTTCAGCATAAACCCCGGATTCTCTAGCACTTTACCACTCAACATATCTCTGGGCAGAACCTTGCCTTCCATGTTGTGTTATGCAGCCGATTGTTATTACCCTTTTGCTCTATCAAACTGCGTGTTTCTTCAGGTGACTTTAGATTCCAAGTCCCTCTACCCAAGTGCTTGTAACTGTCCCAGGTGATCCCTGTTAATTTAAGAAAATGACCTTTCTCTCCCGATGTTCTTCCAATGTGTAATTTGTGGACAAGATGTTGTCTGGGAGATCCTCAAAGTTGTTGCTTGTGACTATAGGAAATCAAACTGCGGTAGAGCAGAATACGGAGTTGCCTGCAGTAAGTTCCTTGCTAAATACCCTTTTTCCACCCCCTGGAAATTACTTTTTGTAGCAGTGGAGAATGCTACAAGATTAGAGTCATGTGAGTGGGCTTGGTACCTATTTTCTCTCTGACTGAAATGAGAACTTATACCTGGATATGGGTTTCTAATAATCTGTCAGTACTTCGGTGTGTACCATATTTGTTTAGATTATAGGAATCTCAATTTAAGAGTGTCAAAAATCCAGTTAAACCAAAACCATGTTGCCTGTAGTTGCTGTTTCGCTACTGTGTCATTGGAGGAAACGATACTTGCTTGGTATGATTTGTTCTTAACGAATTGTGTGTTGGACCACACTGGCTTTGTTGTTTGAAACGTGCAGGAGATAGGTTGTTTGTCTGATCATTTGTTTCAGCATCTTCCCAGGGACTGACAGTAACCCTGACTGGTTGGTGTTTCCCTCTGTACTCAGTTTCCTGCTCATTAGAGGCAGGTGCTTTTGCCCTTCTTTGGGCTGCTGGAACTTAATGCAGAGAGCAGAGGTCTTCTCTGGTAACTAACTACCTTTGACAGTTTTCAAATCTGGTAGGCATAATATTTACCCTTTGAAAACCTCGAAGTACTCCTTCAATGCTGTAACTGCTGTATATAGTCCATGGGTTTATGGACTACATGTCCATAAGTTATGGAAGCTTGTTAAGCTGTCTGCAGAAGCATATTGCCTTTATCATGCTTTCTGTTTGAAGTTTGCCGATAAATATGCATGGGAAACTGAGCCTTGACTTTGTTGGCTCTGAAGGTTTGGAGCAATTGCTCTAACACATTTTCTGGTTCTAGCTGGTGTTCTTGCTCCTTCTGCTGCGATGCGAGTTACGTTAGCTGGTTAATCTGCCTCAGTGGACGAAGATCGATGCAGAAAATGCCCCGAGTGCTTTGGCGTTGTCTGTTAGAGGTTTTACTTCCCATTGAATGGGGGGTTAATGTGCTCCTACTTTAACCTACTTTAACTGCTCTTTCTTTTGCTGCAGGTGTTCTGAAGGAATATTTTCACATTACCTTCAGTGTTGCCACCCAGTAGTTTC